TTATTCTAGATGGACGAATATCGAATGGCTAAAGTGCAGGTTACTTTAGTGCTTATATCATTATCCAGTAAACTGATGTTCTTAATATCCAATTCTTTTTTAGCAATGTTTTCTGAGGAAACCAAAAGCGGCTTGAATCTTGCCATTCCTATATCCATACCTGTTGCCTGTATCTGCTTCTTTGCAATCATTGCTGTCATACTGATTCGTCTGCGACTACGGAGTGTTCGCAGAGACTCTACAGCAGTCCCTCAGCCCACAACCCTTCAGAACAAGGACCAAGACGCAAGGCCACTCAAACACTATCAAGGTTTGAATCAGCCTCCCACTACTGCTGACCTTCCGATCCCTCCAGATGCCTACGTCCCAAACCCAACGCCACAAGACGCCGCAGGGAGTCAGCTTGACCACGAATACGCTGAAGCAGATGCAGATCACCCTCGTCCGGTTCCGAAGACACCCGATGTCCACAAACCGCATTCGGACACATCCTACTCAAGCATCTCGGACGAGTACCACGAGTACACATATGCGAAGCCAATCAAATCAGAATCCAAAATGGCGAACAGGGGTTGTTCGACGGATGAATCGGATGAGTACCACGAGTACACATATACGAAGCCAATCAAATCAAAATCCAAAATGGAGGACAGGGGTGGTTCAACGGATGGCGATGGGTACATAACCCCTGATATGCCTTCACCAGCCCCTCCTCCTCCTCAAAGGGTATATTATTCTTCAAGGGTACCTAAACAAGAACGCGTTACCCCGGAAAAGACCTTAACAGCCCCTTCGGCTCAAGGGGTTTATTACTCATCCAGGGTCCCCAGAGATTGTAAGAAGAATGAGGGTCAGTCTACACAAGATGCTTCCAAGGTTATTTATTATTCATCTCGCCTCCCTAAACCAGGTGGCAGTTAGGGTTTACCTATCTAAAATAATGGACTCTATTGGTGTACACCACGATAGCATGTAGGTTTGAAAGTGTTTACTGCTTGCTTACAAGTGTGGCGAGGACAAGCATATCGTTAACTGAGTAAAGTGATTACAAAAAACAAATGTCCCCTGCTTGTAATATAAAACGAAATGATCTACATAAGTCATACTACTGACTCTTAATTTTCTACCACTTTGCAATCTTACTTATTTTGATGACCTCACTTGCCCTAGTCTTATTAGACTTTAATGACTTCAAGTGCAAAATACAGACTCTCCCAACAATATTGGCATTTATGTGTATTTTACAACGCACAGGCTTATAAATGGTTCATATCGAAATCATCCTACAATACTTCCGAATCATAACATTCAGTGGATAAGGAAGTATCAACATATATGTGGGTATACGAGATAAAATTAAACAAACTAATTAAATTTCCCCAATTTAAAAACATGTTTTCTTGTGTCGTCTAAAATGGATTGAGAAAGGTAAACGTAAACAAATTACAAAAAAGTACAGTGGTCGTGCTAGCTACTATGAAAGCTACAAATATCCCTTAATACATTTAAAACGAAAGTCAATCGACAGGTCGTCGACCTTGTGCACACTTCTGCAATAAGGAAGCTTATACATTCTTGACGTATTAAGCTCTATATGAGCAAAAATAATATTATTAATGTTGCTCATTAAACAATTATTCTACCAGTAGTTCGACCAGTATAAAACAAAATAAAGAACACAATTATGTACGGACTTGCTGGTGAAGAAATGTGACTATTTTGTTTAATAAAATACTAGTGTCAGTGTGTGCTGATGTGTTGGAAGGCGTAAATGCGAAAGTGAGAGTTTGTATCATGCGTGTTTTTGTTTTAATCATGTGCGGTAGAAGGCATGGGAGTGGGTGAGTTGTGCGTTTGAAGAATTAATACGAGTTAGCGCGTCTTGAATTAGAGGGTGGTGAAAACAGAGAGACCTTACCATCGTGGGGGTAAATACACATACTTAAAACGTATACATTGTCTAACTTAAACTACGTGTCTTCCTCATTAGCAGAAATTCGCAAAATTTACTTTGATTTTATTTTGAAGGAAAAGGATCGAAATAAAAGAGTAGTAGTGTTCCATGACTATGGAGACGGTCGATTAAGGATGATTAATTTGAACTGTTCGTTAAAACGCAACGTGTTATGTGGTTAAAACGACTTTTGTGTTGGGAAAGAAAACTGGTCTGGAAGATGTATTTTGACTACAGCTATGAGTCGGCAGGTGAAATATTAATTTTCCTTTGTAATTACGATACAAAGAAGTTGCCCTGTATTTCACAGTGAGATATTTCGAGCTCGGCAAGAGTTCGAAACATGTAGACATTTTGAGGTAGGAAAAAAAAATCAATCTGATTATATTTAACAATACATACTTTTATTCAAAGGGAAATTGATATTTAATATTGATTTTTATAACCGGAATATTTGTCAATTAGATCTATTTTTTGATGGAGAAGATATTTGATCGATTTCTCACTTTCAGAGTTTTGGGTTTACGAAGATATTTGGAATATTTGTCAAGCAGTGGTGGAGAGTGGAAAATATGTTGGGGTAACTATTAACAATGGTAGTTAACTGGAACATACTATATATAAAGGAATACAATGTTTAATTGAATATTTCTAGAAAAATAATGATTTATCTTCGAGGAAGATTTTCGAATAATTTGTAACAATTCTACAACATTTATATAGGTTACATAAACGAGATGGCCACAATTATTTTGACTTCACAAAAAAATAATTATAAGATATATTTCGGTAAGGCCTAGAGTCACGACACTTATTAGGGAACTAAGAGCATTTCAATACAAATAACTTCATGGGGCGATGTGCGCAAGGAACATTTATTTAAGTTAGATTTTGTTGGTGATGACAGCAGGTACATTCATAATTTCGAAAGATAAAGGACAAGCAGAAATGGAATGAATTTCAAGCCTGTTATCGCCAATGTAAAACTGTCACAGACAAAGTTGCCTCATTGTCGTATGATGGCGACATTGCGTTTTAAGTTCTTAAAACTTATAAGCCAATGTATAAATATTACTATTTCTTGATTCATACCCAGAATCCATAAAGAAAATTAATTTTGGTCGCTGGGCTAAGGTTACACATGCAAAGTTATCACAGACCAAAAAAGAGACCACCCCCCCCCCCCGACACAAAAAAGGGCGGAGCTGGAAACACGCTACGTGCTATGGAATCTCCGCTTTTCTTATTACTTTTACATTACATAAACTACATCGACAAGGTTGTATACCTCATGATATCATGTTGTGTGTTCATTGGTTTATTTGGGCGATCGACCCAAACACACATGACCTTATTGAGATTAGATTGTGTCTCTTGTGTGTTAACTGCTTCCCTCTTTTGCTCATTACGTCCATGAGTTGTATTATCATAATACTGGATAGACACCATTACCGTGCGTAGATTAATGCAAACGTTAGGTTTATGATTAAACAAGTTCGAATCTTATTGATACTTTTTATCCAAATATTGTTATTGACACCCCCGAAGGCTTGCCCAAGGCTTAGCCGACATAGAACCAAATAATAAATGCAGCTGTATTCCAATATTGTAGTTCACCCATTAGTACCCGGTTCATGGAATAAATTGTCCCTAGGTTCCCAGGAAAGAAACATCAATTAAAGGCACACTGTCCTACTTGTAGCTACTTGTTCCCTCGATATAGAAAACTTCCCTGATCGGTGCCTGTTGGTCCCCCATGATCCTCTTTTTCTTATGTTAGTTGAGAGCTGAGTTAATGAGATAGCCACCTGTCACAGTGACCTCACTGGTTCGCTGGGCGGTCTAATCCCTTCTTGCTGAAGTAGTAAAGCCTGCCTTTAAGCTAAATGTGCCAGTAATTGTTAATTATACAATGATCGGAGACGTTTCTTCAAAAATGTTAAACATAAATTTACGGAAGGTGATTATGCTCATAGCACTTCTGAATACTTAAATCGAAATCTACGTAACAATAAAATCTAAGCTATAATCAAATCAGTTGGTATAATAACATTTAAAAAATGGCTCATGTTCATATCATGAAAAATAAATAGTGTATGCTATATTGGACAACTGAACAAGAAATGGTAATACATTGATTACGATCTACCATACTTTCTATGCATAGAATGGTCATAAAACGTGGCGTTATTATTTTTTAAAAGACCTCTACTCCTTAATGATTATATGACCTTCGAACCTTTATCCTAGTCTCGTACATAATTATCATTCTACTTTTGACTCATAAACAGTCTCAATTACAACACCGTCCTTTATCTTACAATTCCGCAAGGTCTCAAGTTTATGTCAAGTGTTCACGTGACATGCAACACGATGTTATCTATAGTTTCGTCACAGTTTGTAAAATCAATCAAAGTTCCCTCATGTGGCAATCTTACTGTGTTGTGGTGAAAGCATGCTAAACGTCGTCACGACCTCCTTGTTCAGACCATGATAACTTCCGCTAGCAGTTGGACCTTATCTCGTTACAATCTGCTCAACCACAGTAAAACTGTTTGAAATTTCCCCTCATTACAATGGATGCAATGATACTGTTATTTTACTTATTTCTGCAAATCTCATCTTTTCCTCGAGGCTTTGCACTCGACAACTGCACCGATTTACAGAGGCATAAGACACTGGCAAAAAGTACGTACCTATATCATTTATTTTTTCCTTGGAGGGGGGGGGGGGGTGGAGGCCATTGGGTTGAAAGAACACAGGAGCACTTTTATCAAACTAATACCAGATAATATCATAGAACCGTTTTCATCATTTATTCCTGTAAAATTATTATTCATTCATTATTTTATTGATTGATGTTTTTCTTTAATCTTCTTACTTATTTATTAAAGTATCTGTGTATTTTTTTAAATATTTTTTACCTGTTACCTCTTTATCGAAGTTATTTATTTAGTTTTACTACAGTAAACAGGCATCGTATAATCTGAATTCTTCATTTTTTAAATTCTTTTGTCAATTCTCCTTACTTTAAGATGGGGATTACATTGGTTGCTATGATCTTGGATGCCTGAACCTAGAGCACAATATTAGCTTTCCAGAAAACATGGGGACCACGCCCAAATCCTGTGCAGCGAGATGCGATGACAAAGGATTTGTTCTCGCATATGTATACCAGGGATCTGGGTGTTCCTGTTCGTGCGATGTAGAGTGCCTGGAAACCCCCGTGGAAGATTATAGATGCGGATTGCCATGCCGACAGGACTTTAACCAATTTTGTGGTGGACTGAATACAAGTGCTGTGTATAAAGGTGACATATTATGTTCTTAAAAGTTTCCCTGATTAAAGATCACTAATGCATTACCTAAAACAAGAGAAAAAGCCCCAAACATACCAACCCCCCCTCCTCCAAGTAAATATTTAGAAGAGGAAAGATACAAATCTGAAATAAATTACACTGTAGCTGACGTGCATTAGTTTTATAGGGATGTTTTTTTTAATCATGTTTTGTGAAAAAAATAAATTATGAGACCAATATAATAATTTGATTGTCATTTCCAGAAATACTTCTATTTCTTTTTGTTTTTACATTTTTGTTATAAATATCGCCTGATCGCATAATTTGGGGAAAATATCTAGTGTTTGAAATCAGAATGATCGGGGATTATTTTTGTAATAAATTTTACAAGTAATGATCGATATAGTTCCATAATAATGATACATATTTGACTCCCTATCTGCTTTACATTGGTCATGTAGGGTGGGACAAGACATATTTAGTCCTACATGTCGTATGACCGATGCCCTCGTGGTTAACAAGTTCTTATATATCGTACATCCTAAGAAGTGTATAGTGCATTTTTTGTCTTGCAGTAAGGTCTCTAAACACCTCTCGGCCAAACAGTACAGATGGAACAAATCAGAGCGATGACGGTGAGTGAGATTTATTTTCAGCAAGCCACATGCAAGTGGTTTATAGGCTAAGATCTATGCAGAAACGACTTATTTCTGTTGAAAAGTCATGTATGACTCCTCTGATTCTTTTCATGTCATTTGCGATAATATCATATAAGATTGTTCCCCTGAAAACCCTGCCTTATCTTTTAGAAAATTAATTATTAGGAACAATTTGTACAACCAAACACTTGGCAGTTCACCATGTTTAACGTGTATTGCATATAACACGCGCATCGCGCGCCACATCAATTCTCCTAGCGATACGTCACAATCCGGAAAATTTGAACGGTAATTTCGGCGAAATGGCAGCTTCCTTTGGAAGCAGACGACGTCGTAAATATGGCGAAGTAGGGTCTCTTTATAATACTTGCAAGACGATATTATTTGGCCTATAAGAATGCTTTTTATATTAAATGAAACATTGTTTTACCCTCTCTGCATGATAAGGCTTCATAGTCGAGAGGTGAATTCTCCTTCAATTTTAACAAACTGGGTGCGTGCGCGTACACAAATCTGTGAGAGCACAATGATAAGTTTCTATTACGTGCACTGTCATATTTTAGAGACAATTAACATACATTTTTTAAAACTATTTTAATAGAACGCATAGTTTTGAGAAAACGGCCCCTTGAGGTAAAATATAATCTTTTTCTTGTGTATCAATCGTCAACTCATTGCGTCCTAGAAACGAACAGAAAATGTATTCCGGGTCTTTGGGAATGATGGTTTTTAGTAGTCATGGAAGTCACCACGTTAGCTCAATAGTCTGTAACTTTTTAACCCACTCCCAGGATCCGACTGCGAGCCTCAGCATTATACCACACTTGTGTCATTTCTTGTTATCTCCTGCATCATCATCTGCGCCTTGGTAATCACGGTGGTTGTATTTTATCGACGGTTGAGAAAGGTTACGTCGTCCAGAAACCTAAGGATGTACAGCAAGAAAAGCAGTATTCGGCAGATAAATCGGCATGCAACACACAGGCCGCATGCCGTGGAGGACGGTGGTGAGCATGATCATCAAGTTGATGCGGGGATGGTTTCACCTACGAATCGAGGACAAGCCCCAAATAGAGCACTGCATGGTAGCCTGAGCAACGATCCCCAGTCCCCTGCAGTTGACGATGAACAGATCTCACCTTACGAAATGTCGTTTGATCAAGGTGTAGATCAAGGGGCAATCTATTCACCTCACTATTCGACCCTGGAACGTACCGATGTCGTCGCTTCAAACTTCGAGGGCTATAATGACGAGTACACACAGCCTGGTGTGGGTCTAGATATGAGAAAAACAACAGGATTTGCGTGCGACAGAGACGGCTATCTCTTACCAGGGTCAAGTTTGAAAGAATCTACACCTAGGCATATCATTCCTTAAACTGCAAGCTTCACGCATCCCCCCAAAAAAAGTTATCTTTAAGTTATTCAAAACCTAAATTTGTAAAATGCCGTAGCGACTTTGAATATGACGATAAAAAGATTGTCTCGTTGGGTAATTGTGGAATCTATCAATTTGTGTTTAAGATCATACATATGCACGTCCAGACCGTTAAAAGCGGGGCAAGACATAGTTTCTGCCAGATGGAGCAAGTGGCCAGTAATTGGAAAGTATTTTATTAGCATATATTGGGGAGAGGAAAAATGTATTTGGATCCTTATTCTTAAAAAATGTCACAAAGGAACTATTGATTTGTGATATTATTTTTAGCAAGGTTAGGACCGATACTTGAGAAAATACTATTCATTAAAAGTAAAAGTCAAGTAATCAGTGGAATAAATGAAAATTATAAAAGCGAGAAAAAAAAATAGAGTTGAGAAAAATGATCGCACTTTACAAGATCGATATTAGAATCCCCCATCCTAAAACAGTGTTTATTTTGAAATATAGGGTTGGAGAGTAATTGTTGTATTTCAAGTAGAAATGTATTATAATCCGAAGATGGTGGCAGAAAAATCGTGCCTACAACCAACATATTTTCTTGGGCAATTTAATCTAAATATAAACTGTTTTCATGGTTTGATTGATTATATTCAATTCATTTAGTACACTGTAATAAAGGTAGGCTGGCACGTAACAATGGAAATACTTCTCCTCTCCGATTTACTCTATTGTTAAAAATTGTATTATGTTTAGACACGTAGTACATAGTTTGAGGTTTATCTGTAAACCAGGTTTATGTCAGACCAACCTTAACAAAAAATCTACTTTGATGTTATACAATAAATCGAATTGCTCGATTTTTTGGTTTACACTGTGAATATTAAGATGTACAACATTCACGTCACTCTTTGAAGCACATTGTGAATCGCTTATAAATTGCCTTTCAGTAAAATATCGTTACTTGACAAATGATATGTTTATTAATGTTCGAAAGTATAATCGATTAAATTTTAATTGTTATTTTAGGTGTTTTAAATATTTTTTTCATATTGCTCACCAGATACGGAATTGCTGTCAACATTTTGCTATAACTGTATAAGTAAATATAAATTAATTTCGTTTACATCGTTAAATTGAAAAGTAATACAATGTGACATACATGTATCAAATGTAACATATCGGAGTGAAAAAAACACCAAGTAAATTTGTTAAAGTAGCGCAATACTGATACTGTCAACTTTGCATAGACTAGTGCAGTATACCACAATAGAGATATTAGCTGCAGAAGACAAAACAAAACAAAAATAAACGAGAGGACGACTGTGACAGACACGGATATAAAGACATAATCAAATCATAAACATATATTGTCGAGCGTAGATGGCAGTATGCAATTTTGTTTAGCTCTCAGGATAAAAATAATTTGTCAAAAAAGCTTTGTCCATGAAAAGGAATTAAAAAAAAAATAGGCTTCTAGTTATATTTGAAATACAAGAGCTATAATTTAGGAACAACACTTTCAGTTTCTGATTGCATATCAGGAGTCATTTATGTAATTTGGCTCCTGTTACAATCTTTCAAATGGCACTTTAGAAAATAAATTACTTTGTCACGTGTGTGTGACAACAGCAGTACTATAAAAAAAAAAATAGATATCAAACGAGTGAAATGTACTGAAATCAATCCTTCATTAAAAAATCTAATTCGAGACATTTTTATTTCCATCCATGAAATCTGATAAAATGTAGTGCCAATGAATACAACTAACCTTTGTGGTTTTTGAAAATCACGGACAAATAGTTGACGGTTGGATGTAACATAATCCATCTGCTGTTTATCAGAGCTTATTTGCTTATATCATAGTTGATGAATAAAAAAAAAGGGGGAAACCAAAAAACGAAAGAAAACAAAATTATAGCAAACTATCAACTAGCTTCAAATAATAATTAAAAACAAGAGTTTCAGGGGCTTTACAAATGTACATAAGCTAGAAGTAACATTTATGTTCGGTGTTAGTTTTGATTGTTGAATGACCTGTGATTCTTTTATATGCAAATGTAACGTTAATGTACAAATTATTACTCTAACAAAAGAACACCGATTTATGATTATATACACTCTTTGTTGAAAAGTTTGTACTACGTTTACTATGTTAACAAACAGCATACTATGAGTTTATGAAAAGGGGAAAAAGATCGTTAAAAATGTTTGTTATAGCTAATAGAATAACTTAATATTGAAATAAATACAACTAATCTCATAACTTCAGGGATATTTACACCGCATTTGTATGAATCTGGTATGAAGGTACAACAGGATCACAACAATATTAACAAATAAATCCCATGTTTTTCATTTGAAAGACATTGTTAATTCCTCTCTATTCGTGAAGGGTCCCAGTATAATTCACTGTCGTAACTAAGTTCGAAAAAGACATTAATATCACTTATTAGAAACGAGATAAAATATCATAGAAAGATTTAATGGGATTATTAATTGACACTTGGGTATATTCAAGTGGACGATTAATGTACATTGATAGACAAGGGGCAAATGGAACTAAATTATAACATAATATATGAGACGAGAGTGTAATCACTTTACAACCATGGACATTGCTAAGACAGAGATGGAGAGGATGAGAGAGGGGGAGAGAAGGAGAGCGAAGGAGACTGAGTGAGAAAAAGAAAAGAGGAAGGGAGGGCCGGAGGGCGAGAAAAGAGAAATAGAAACAGCAGAGGCGGAGAGATGGGGAACGATATATTAGATAGCTTAGACAGATACCGAGATGTGATTGGTCCAGAGCTCGTCACGTGATATCAATAGCGAGGATCCAAATTGTTATATTTCCTGGCTGGTTATATTTTACCAGCTGGCGAAATGAACATATTTATATCAATGCATGTCGCCCTCTTGAGAACAGTATGTCACCAATTACACACATTACACCACTACCGAGGGTCATTTTTCTTTTCCATATTTTTTTTTTTACATGAATTTTTCCCCCCGAATTAGTTTTTTCCATTTTTTTTTTCCATTTTTTTTCCCCATTTTTTTTTGTTTTTGTTTTTTGAGAATTTTTTATTCAGGTTTTTTTTTTTTTTTTGCTTTTCTTTTTCTAAAATGTTGATTGTCCCCGAAAAAAAATTAAAACATTTCGGGCAAGACAATTGTTGGACCACCCCCCCCCCCCGTTAAAAAAAAATCAAAAAAGTCAATGCTAACTAATATAACAGTTATTGACTGGCAGGGGGTATATAACATTCTTTGGACCTGAAGGGAGTTATATTTTCCCTCGTGACCATATTTTCCCTCAGCGCTGCGCGCTTTGGGAAAATATAACCACTTGGGAAATATAACTCCCTTCAGCAGTCCAAACAATGTTCTATAACACCCCCTGCAAGTCAATTACTGTATAATATAGAGAAAGGGAGAACGAGAGAGAGAATTAAATGGGGGGGGGGGAGGGAAAATAAAAAGGGGAGACAAAGAAAATGAGACCCCTTTATTGGAGTCGTATCAATATTAAACAGTGGTGTGCCTTGTTTATTGCCAGAAACTTATCCAGGAACTTAGGTTTCGGTTCTTCAAATTCTAAGTTGTATAGAGCAATTTTTTATTTGATAACATAGAAAGGGCGAGAGAGAGAGAGAGAGAGATAGAGAGAGAGGGAGAGAGATCGATAACGAGAGAGAGAGAGAGAGAGAGAGAGAGAGATAAAGATAGAAAGGGAAGGTGGAGGGGACGTTAAAACACATGTGGAAAGTAACGAGAAAGGGAGAGGAAATAAAAGTGTTGTAACGAGGAAACATGTCCTTTAAAAGCTATTTACCCTCGACTAGACAATATTCCTTCTCCACGTTTGCAGAACTTTGTCCATGTGGCATGCTCATTTTATAATACAAGAATCAAATAATAAGTACATCAATTACCTCAAAAGATTTTATTTAAATGTATCCGTTATGTCCTTGCAACTAATACTCTAATACACAATGGTCAGTTAGGTCTGCTATCAAATAAATATCTGACTCCTAAACATATGCAAATTACAATAAAAGACTGCAATCGTATCAGAAACTTTGTACTCCTCACCCTTCAAGAATGCGAATATGTTTTGTTTCATTCCGACGGTCTCAACAAGCTCCTTAATCTTAATTTAGCATTTCGTCCTTACCCCCTTATTTCTTAATATGAAACGAGTGTAAGCCCTATGCATATTAATGTACTCGTATTAAATTGCTCTTGGAATGACACTATAATGTATCATGACTTTCATTTTTTTCATGATTGAAGGGAGAACCCGATTAAAAGGCTACGATAAATACCTGAATATTATGATATATAAAAAAAAAGTTGTAAATCCAAATTACATCGAAATTCCAACCATTTGAAAGTCTCTCGTTAGTCATTAAAAACATACCTTTCGGATTTTGTCTAAACCTTCGACACTAATGATACGGGGTACGGGGGGTGGGGGTATATATTTCAATGACTTAGGTTGTAAATTAAAGTTCATATATCACAATCTATCCAATGGTTTAATACTGTACAGAAGTATGACAAAAAAAAAGGATGGATCTCTACGTGTGATTGTGATTTTTAAGAGTGAGTTGTATAATTGCAAAATTAAACGAACAAAAAGCGTATTAACGAGTTTGAAACAAGTGTTATTTTTAAACTGTGCATACAATTCAGTTATTTATGAGTTCATCTATTCTTGCATCCATTCATTCATTCATTCATTCGATCGTTGTCAATTTGTATTGCTCATATATCAATGCTTTACCAGTTTCAATTAATTTGACAACTGTACCTTTAACGTTCGAAAGCGCTCTTGATGTCCATATTGATTAACTTTTGTTTCGTATCAAGAAGTGAGTACTCATTTTATGACGAGTGTGGTTAATTAAACAATAGTATTCATCACCTAGTTACTGATGCTGCCAACCTAAGTCCGCTTCTGGAATAACTCCTTCCATTGTTTCGAGGTCTTGCAAAAATTCGCTGTAGAGATCATCGCAGAAA